TAACTGAGAGTATATCGCGAATCAAGCGTTATTGTGCTCTTGCCAGATATTGAAACCTCCAAAAGTGGCCATAGTCAAAGTTTCTGTATTTTAAAAAAACTAATTAAAATTAACCAGGTTCAGCAAACAATTATAAATAAAATATGTTTAATTGTAAATTTCATTTTCGTAAAAAGCAGGAAAATGCAATCGATTATTAAAATAAGAGAGATTTATTCATCTACTGTTGAATATGATTATAATTAGGATCCTATTAAATCTTTATCTCCTTTTAGCATATAGCAGAGTCCATATTTTCTATCCGAGAAACGTAGTCCAGACGACAAGCAGATGCGCCAAACATGTTTTGATACGGCGAATGCGCAAAACAGTTGGTGAATCGATTTACGCGGCAAGCAACTGTGCCTTACGCCATCTCTTGGGCCTTACTGCACGCGATGGCAGCCGTACACCTCCTGCCGTTGACGACGCAAGATGTTGTGCATACGGGCAGGTGATTAACGTTGATATTGTTGTTTTAGCTATGGCGTCTGCAGTAAGTTTGTAGATGGTTGGTTGAGAGAAGATGTAATTCCCGCCTGACCCCAATGAGCTTCTGGCTTGCAGACGGTTCCCTAAGCTGAAAACTGTTACTCAATTAGGAACGAGAAAAAAATTTCAGTTATTGTGAAATAAAAAAATCCAACAGTTAATACTATATAATCTTAATTCAAATGACTTAAAGATCACTCTTTTGACCCTTTGCCGTTGAATAATTTTGTTGTGTATTCAGTTACATTAAAAGAAACAGTTTTGATAATGCAACAACGATTTATTTTTAGTTTATACTAAAAATGCGTTCACTCTTAGTCACCAGCTAAGCGGATGTCACAAAATCATTATATCCCTGAGTGCACAGATTTGACTTCCCCCATATGTTCATTATACTTATTTTATCATTACCATTAGCAGACGCATGTAGCAAAAAAACAAACACATGTCCATCGAACATTCGCTTCTCTGGTTCAAACTTCCTTTGACATATGCGGAAAGGATGCGACAGTATAAACGTCACGCCAACTGGATGAATAATTATATATTATATTATTTTTTAAACGACTGGGAAAATACCTTTAAAAATTGTTTTAGTATAGGACAGCTTTTTGTGTAATAATACAGCTGGTACCCTTCCAAAAAAACAATATATTCATAATTCACTGCTTGGAATTTTCTACATAAATATTTTCAAATAATATTTTCTCTAAATACTTTCAATGACTTCAGAATCGGCATTGATATTGCTATTAAGTTTCCTGCTATGGTATCGTATATTTTCATGGTCAATGCTACGCTATGCATGTTCACCGCTAGGTGGCAGCCAAGGAATATAAAATAGGGTGTATGTAATGACATGTCAGTTGTCACGACTACATTCTAAAAAATACGAATCGACCGATTGCCAAACTGATTTCACCATAAAATAAATTTGGAATTGTGGTGTTGAAAAGACGATAGAACTGCAGTTTATAAGCTATACCATTATTTCAAGATCGGCGAAGAAGGGAACTAATCTAATTGTTGTAAAAAAGGCATGGTGATGTTTTCTATCTCATTCAAATGTCATTACATAGCCACGTCTTTGCCATATATTTGAGATCCTACAACCATATAAGTTCCACGTAGTACGCCATTACACAAAAATATTTCTACCTTCCATTAAAGAGCATATTATTTTGTGAATGATTATTGGTGTGAATCAATCAATACCCAAACTAAGCCTGATTGAGGTAATTGATAAAAATAATACATAATTAACTATTTCGTATTCAAAATTCACAATAATCATGGATGAGCAAATCGATTCATAAGATAATTATTAATTTATAGCCTAAAGTCGGATGGAAAATTATTTATAATATGAAAATTCGTAGTTGTCTTTTGTCTATCGAACACGGCACATGGATGTGTTAATTTTGATCAATGAACCATACTTGACTGGCATAAAATAGACTTTTAGGCTTTGATCGAGTCAATAAAACTTTTATGATAGTGGGAAAGTTGGAAGAGATTTACATGCTAATTAATATCTTAATTACGGATGAATTACCAGACACGATTTTGTAATATTTATGACTTGAATCTGGGGGTGTAAAGGCGACAAAAGAATTAATTCCCACGCTAATAAAACTTTGGTACTATTGTCATTTAATTTACAATGTCCAAATGTTTTAACAAGATCACACTTTGGCTAATTTTTAGTCAAAAGTTTGGAATAGGGATGGATGGTTAATAATGGAGCAATAGACATTTGAATGGCCAACCCCATAAAGATACATTGGGCTGCCGTACAGAGGTCTATTTCGAGCCAAATAATATTCATTTTGTTTTTCGGGCAGTTTTCAGATTTCTGTTCGTTCATGGTATTTTACAAAGGCTCTTAATTTCACATTACGCCAGAAAGCGTCTATTTTGATGAAGAAGATTATTTGTCTAATAAATCGTTTTCAGAATCTATCGATAATATATAATCAATTCATTCGACTTATTACATTTGTTTTCTATTTAAAAATATAAATCGATTACCAATATTACACGACACACCAGGTGCTCTGATACCATTATGTACCAGAACAGAGACTCAAAACGGCAGACGCAGATGGCATCATACCGATGGAGCTGTAAGCTGAGCCGACTGCATTCTTGTACCTGTGCGTGTACACCCACTTGCAAAAGATATCCACAAAATATAAACCAGTAATTGTACATGCTTATTTAGTCAACGCTTGTGTTATTCTGTTTTCACAACGCACTAAGCTCAACAATTTCTCAAACGGCTAAAAAATTCAGAGGGTCATGTTTTCAAATAGCCTGTTGCTGTACCGTAGTTATGACTACAGTATAGTTCCTCCTTCGTATAAGGCAGGTTTAATCCCTTGTTATATTTCAAACCGAAAACCAAGTAACAATAAAATATACTGTATGACGTATAATATATTATGTTTAATCAAATTTATGCTGTCATCCATCAGATATTTTTAATAATGACTCAATTTGCGGAAAACAAATATTCATATATTAAAGCGGAATTTTTTTTAATAATTTGCCTACATGCTTCAATAATCAACACAAGGAAGCATCCTTTTCACAAATTTATTACGTTGACGGTATTGTCACACGATTCGATTGACTTTTTAGGTGATTATCTAATTATAAACGAAACTTAGTTACAGATGTTTTTATATGCTACTTGATTTTAAAGTAATCAAAGCTTTTTTAGGTCAAATTTTAGTAAATGACTTGGAATTCTCGATTCTGCTACCGGGGCGTCTGTTACAGATGCTTTTCATCAAGAGTAAACGCGTTGCACAATGCCGTTAGGGTTAGATTTTGTGGATGGCCGTAGAGAATATTCAATTTTGTGATAGTTTGATGGAGAACAAGTTAAATTTACAGCTAATGTTCTGTTCAGAACTTATAGTAGGCTACCTTGCCGCGATCATCGTGACAACGCGGATTTACGGTTTCACACTCTATGTACATCATCCAGTCAACAGCGTTCTGATTTGGATAGTCGATACATTACGAATCGGGAGGGATTTTGCCTCTCTTCTCGAAATCTTCATATTTATACACTTATAGAGTTTCCAGTCGGTTACATGTAATAATTGAACGCGCGGACAAAAAAACAATCCATAATTAGAATAAACTCACCACCGGACAAGTGAAGCATAAAAATGATTCAACTGGAAGGTAGGTCGACGACAATATGGTATTCCGCGTCTACAATAAGCCATCCTGGCATGCCAGCTCAATAAAAGCTAAGGTGTAGTTGAAATTGTGCTCTCCTGCTATTCCATTACGTGCTTTACCTGTAAGAGGAGAGAGGTCGTAGCCCTATGAGCACACCGTAAAATTGCTTATTTAACCGCCAAAAATATTTCAATTTTTTATCCGAGACATCAGTGTTGCAAAATGAATGTATTCAATATGGCCCTATCCGTTCGTTCAATACAACGTTTTTGATATTATACAAAATTCAAACCTACAAGAGCGTGGCAGAATGGTCTATTAAATCGTTGCATCAGTAATTACGTCAAATGTCTGATCCGTTATCTTGTTAATATATCAAAAGTTCTGAGTAATAATTGCAAGCCAGCAGCAAGCCATGAAATGTTATGCTAGTCTTTTCAACGCTTAGTCTAATGATTCGTCAAGTGACTAATATTTTGGATTAATTCATGTAGAAAATATAATAAATAAAATGCTTGGCAATTTTGTCTTAGGTACTTTGCTTTTTTAAAACAATGTTGTTCATGTAAGATATACAGTTGACTGAAGGAAGTTTACACGATGCACACAATGTAGACCTGGCCCGCAGTTTACATTGAATATATAGGTGAGAAACATTGAGTGGGCAGAGCTGCGCGTGGGCAACATATAATGTTATATTATTTATTAGTAGTGATCGAATATATAGACATGATGTGTCACATAGTATGATAATTTATGTTTCTAGCCAACGTCTGAAGGTAATATTAGTTTCAAGTGTATCAGCATCAGGCATAGGCAAAGAGCATATTTTTGCGCACATAAAACAGAAGATTCTATTATAAGAATGCCATCACTTGGTTAATGTAAGTTAATAAAGCTTAGAAGTTTACCGGCTTCTGCAAGATGGATAAATTGCATATTTTTGGTAATGCCGTGTAATAAATACTTAACCGTGCGTCGTCCATATTTGTCCAATTGTACAAATAACCAATACGTCGTTGCATAGGAATTTGATTGGCTCATATTGAAATCTAAACTGCAACTATCTCCCAACGTCTGAGGTTTGCCTTGCTGTATTTATTCTACATATTTTATAATGTAGCTCCCGGAGCTTACAGTAGCTCACGACATTTCAGTGGTCGAATGATCGTAACTTGATGCTCAACAGACAAATTCCTATACAACTAAGTAGCGAATTATTTATCGTTGCGCAAATTTGTATTACTCAGCCTACTACTTACTGAGTTTAAAATAAGCAGTAAAAAAATAAAAATTGCCTTGTAGGCCTACAAGTATATTTTGCTTCGTTTCCAGTAGCTGACATTTTGTCGAGGATAATGAAAAAATCAACAGATAACAGTGAGCGATTTTAATTTTTTCCATCAACTACCCAATGGATACTACAGCTTCAACAACACCTTCAATACCTCACGATAAACATTTTATTCTGATTGTAGTAGCCACATGTAGTGGAATTTTATTCATGGCGTCTATCATTATGCTGATTTGCTGCATCCAGAAAAGGTGAGTTGCCAATGCAACGGTTTGTGTTCAGTAAACAGATCATACTTTATAGGTGGGTTATCACGGCCAATTTTTTTTTGATGAACTTGATTCTATATATTTTTACATAAAGTCGACTTAGTTTTTTACTTATGACAACCGCTTCAGCGAAAACCAAACGCATCTCGTAAACGGTTTTTGATGAGGTAGTACTAAGAACTGTTCCATTCGTGGGTGGAGCGTTTAACCTCTGAATTTGACATTTAATTCTGGTTCCTCATTGCGTGGTTTCATAAAGATTGAAACAATAAAATAATGTTAAACAGAAATGCTAATGCACAGCCGGCTATGACTGTAAGTAGATCAAGCAATGACGTTCTATGTCAGGGGTATGGGCATTTTTTTTAGTATAAGAGCGCATGCAGAAAGTAAGAAATACGTGAGAGCCGCATAATTCTTTTAAATTATCAATATTAGAATATATACCGTGAACAGAAAATAATTTCCCAAACGTCTAATAACAATATATATTATTACACGGTATTTATTATGATGCCATATCAAAAGTAGTAGTCTGGGCAATATGTAGTCAACGCAGCGCGGGAAATATTGCACTGTGCCTGAGACCAACCGCAATCAAGCTGTAATACCGGCAACGCAGCAACAAACATGTGACCATTGTGACCTAAGATTTGTCGCTTGAGTGATTAAAATTTGAAATTCTACGCTTAACGATTTTCATACTAAAACATAATTTGTCCTAATCATAAATGAACACTTCTTCAATCGTTTATTAAATTTCAAATAAACTGTTACATTTCAGATTCTCTTATAGTTAAATTTGGATAAAATTCTATGTTAGCGAGAAGAGTCGCATAAAAACTCTCGGGAGCTGCATACGTCATCAGTGGGCCCTACTTATTATCTGTCGATTTCTGCAGGGTTGACTTTTATAAATTCGTGTCTCGCAGACGAAGTCCACTTTATATAAGCGGTAAATGCCTAAAATCTTAAAAACTTATATAGAATCAAATTCGCCACAAAAATATTTCCGCGATTACCCATCTTCAATACTATGCCCTTTGTGAAATATGACTATTCAAAAGCGTTTTACATTCGCTTTAAACAGGAAAATATTTTGTACAAAACTACAGTGTAAAATACCTATTTTTACAAACCGAGGTGCGTTGTATAGAACAGTGTTCTTCAACCTTTTACTGCGTGGTATACTTTTCCCAATTTTAATTTTCCGCAAACAGCAAAGAATATTTAATAACAAAGTAGCAAAATTGTTTGGTAAAGTCATTACAGAACTCTTACTCTGGGCACAAGATATAATGCGTGCTAAATTGACAATAAAAACATAGAAATTGATGTTAATTTTATGACCTTTTATGAAGATTGTGTTTAGAGATTTGCGAATAACTTTGACTTGGCCTTTTCTGTGTATCTATCGCGTGGAATAGGTTTTTACCCGATCATATAATTCACCTCGCAAAATTGGTGGTCAAAACACACTGTACTTGCGAAATAATGAATTCTGAAGTTGAATGTGAACTGCACATGTTCCACAAACACAAAGCTGGCTGTAGTGTGGAGTATATTCTACCCAGGCCATAACTGTACACCCTCGTATATCATTTGTTTCATGTATACCCAGGATCTGACTTGGTATACACTTGATACACTATTATACAGTACACCCGGTTGAATAACACTGGTTTAAAACACGATCTGAACATTGTGTTGAACACGTCCTAGATAAACGGCTACTCAAGCTAACAAAGGCTTTAATATGCTAAAATGATTAGTCTATTAGTTCGTGCATTGTTTTTTGATTGTGGTACACCACTTAAAATTGAATTTTCTGCCCATTCAAAACGTTCCAAATTACAGTATTGAATGGAAATAAATCTGCTTTATATTTTTGTATGTAGTTTAAGTGTGAAAAAGTATCAAACTAACTCGAGATATTTAGATATGATACTTGTCCCGTTTTGCTTCTTTTAATCTTTTTTACAATGTGGTTTATCTATTCATACATTTCAGTAAGTTTACAACCCATTTTAGGATCGGTTTACTCGCTTGTACAGGAGGCTGAATGAATTATCATGCTTCATATAAAAAATCGGTAACAGCATTGCTGAACACGTATAAAATGATTGGAAATTTGATTGCAGGAACAGACTGCGGAAGAATGCAAAAGAACGTGAGGTGAATACAACTAAAATCGATCTACCAAAAACAGATGAAACAATTTTATCGCTGGAACACATGACAGCCCATCATGTCGTTGAATCACCATTTCAAACTGACCCTGTTTTATATTCAACAATAGACGATATGACCACCTCTGGAAAGGGTAGACTACTTGTTAAAAATGTCTTATATGAAGAGAATTCTTCTGGTATTACAAATCCTGAAATAGTAAACAATATAATATACAACATGGATGAAAACACTGCTACCAACGGTGATCACGTTAATAATGATGACAACGGCCATGATATGGTGGATAACGTGCTTTATGGAACAAACGTAGCGCAATGAACATAGAGCACGTCATTATATCTATAGTTACAAAGTTAACAAACAGTTCAGGTAAAGTTGACTTTAAACAAAAACATATCACAAATAAAATTCCGACCAATAATTAGCCTATAATCTTCCACAGACCGTTGTTGAGATCGCATGAAGTGTCGAATTCGAAATTAGTTGTTTTTGTTGTTGAAAATCGCTCTCTTCTCATCTAATGAACCAATCGATTTTAAATTTTTAGTATCCACTAGAACAGGCGTCGGCAACCTTTTGTCGCTCGCGGGCCAAAATTAAGGGTTGCAAGTCATTGGCGACCCGCACATATTTTCAGAAAGTTAAAAGCCGAACGGATGATACTTTTTATATTAAAAATCAAGCAGTGATATATCTCTCAAATAGAATATGGATTTACCCTCTCATTGCATTGCATTCCAACAAATTCCATTTGAATATTTTCGGCGTCATTGAACCCTTTGCACTTAGCATCAACTTTTCTGCGTTTTGTTTCCATTTGTCTGATTATATAGGCTAATTAAACGAGTAATTGTGAATTTTACACTTGTTAGATTATATTATAATATAGTCTACACATGTCTCACAATAAATTCTGTTACGTAAAGAATATAATCGTCAAAACAGCTGTTTTGTTACTATAATTCAGTGAAGCGTTGCGGGCCGGATTATATTACCCCGTGGGCCTGATTCGACCCGCGGGCCGTAGGTTGCCGACCCCTGCACTAGAAGATAAAAGAAGTCGGTAGAAGGTAAAAGTACCATTTTTTTCCGATAATTGATATCTCATCCCAAATTTTGATGGGTTTTATAGTTCACGAACACACTTTCATGTGGATTTTGTACATTCGTTTAATATTTAGTGCGTAAATAACAGTTGTATAGTAAATGCTCTGCTATTGTCTCATTCAACTGCTGATATTCAGTGTGCTTCTGACAATATCAAATATGGCAGAGGTTCCCAAATGGTGCGCCGCGAAAATACACAGAATTGTGTTGAACATGACTGAAATATGATTGAATATTTTACATTTTATTATTCTTGTATAATTGTTTCTTATTTTAAATGCTTTGTATATCAATCAAGAAGAGTTGACTTTATTCTCTAAGCCTACATGTTTACAATCTTAAAACGACATTAAATTGCGCATTAACGTTCACAAAATTGAGTTTTATTTGAAAGCAGCATTTTTTTGCTTGTAAATGCGCCGTGATATTATTTTCCTAATAATTTGGCACCGCACGAACAAGAATTTTGGAAACCGCTGATACATATCGTCATAAACAAGTTGTTGATGTCAATGTTTGAACGGCAATAGATCTAGTTGGTCTGTCTTCCTTAAGCGAATTTATTTTATCTTAAGTGATTGCTGATTTATAGATATACACGATGAGCGATCTCCATTGGAAATTTTCTCATCTTTGAAATCTATTATTTGTTAATAATTTTCTTTTCAACTATACTACCAAATGAGGCGAGGCGGACACAGTATTATCGGACACAGTGTCATGCAAATGATACATAAACTAATTTATTGCAGCCCGTGGTGTAGCCCAGCGATTCCCAACCTTTCTACCCTGGCTGGCCGTTAAAATTAGATTAAATGTACTCGCGGATCAAATAATCAAATAATCTGCCGTCCAATAATTAAAAATTGGTGAAACATAAAATAATACCATATATTTACGTAATGAAATGCAGTGCTGGGCACTCATTATGCGTAAGAAAGGCACGTATAAAATATCTCACATTAAAAACAGGTACATGCCAGAACATGTACAAACACTATTAAATTCTGTGAGAATTTTGCTGCTGTTTCGTTTCCAATATAAGATTGCAAACGAGGCCTCAAAGAAATTTTTGCAACACGTAGCTCTGCAGCCGCGTGCAGCCGATTTCTTTGCTTCGTTTTAATTGAATCTAGTGATGAAAATGTTTTTTCGCATAACGCAGTAATGGACTGAAAAGACGGACAACAGTTTGATTGCTCGATTACTTGGCGATGGGTATTCGTTATCAAGAGATATCTAAAATTGTGATGAGTAATTCTTTTTCAATCTGGACTGTAAAGTAGAATCACCATTTTTATCAAGGCTTTTCTTCTTCATTGTGTTCATAATATTAATCCCTCTGCAGTTGATCGACGCCTCAAACGAAATGAATATGCATTACAATGACAAAGTCGTCGATAACTTGGCAACAGGCTCAAAATCCTACTGTGTCTGGAAAAGATCTCTGCGCCCATGCTTTTTTGCGCGTCTCGTGACCACCTTTGGGGTCGCAACAAGTTCATATCTTACTAGAATATTATACTATTCTAGACTGTTTCCTGGTTTAAAAAAGGAGATATGCATTACGTTATTAATCAGGAAAATGGAGCGCATTCGCGATGAATCGGAGGCGAAAAGTGTGAATGCTCGGCGCCAAGATGTCGCGTAAGACGGCGTCAAGATGTCGCGAACGACGTCGCAATATGACGGTGGAAGAGAATTGCCGGTCCGCGGACCAGCGGTTGGGAACCACTGGTGTAGCCTGTTGGGCGAGTTTCTTTAGTTAGAAAAATGAATCTTAGCCGTGTGCCCTTTAAAGTACTGTACGATTCAGTAAATAAGTGAGATGTGTAACGGATGTTGTGACTTCACTTCGAACAAGAGAGCGATGCTCAAATATACGGATATGCACTCCGTCTGTTACAGTAGACTACCGGTATCGAAACATTCACGACTAAAGTGAACGCGGAGCCGCGACAAATACAATCTTTAACTTCCTAACAATAAGAAGAGAAATGCGAACAAGAACAACAACCACATAAAAAGGTCCACTTTGTGTCTAAAAATGTCTCTTCGAGTAAAACTGCGTACGCCTATTGCTAAGGAATTGTTAACAATTAAACCATGTTTAAATAGTAATTTGTAAATGCCCGGAGAGTAATCGATGGTTTAGGTAGGAATAATTTGAAGATGAATACATTGCCTGTACAAAAAAGATATTAGCGTTCAAAATGAATGAAGTAGGAATGGAATGCACGCGAAATTATTCCCCTATTTTTTTGACTTCTGCAGGACTAGAATAATAAATATGTCTGGTAAAAGCATCACCGGACTTTTATTATTATTCAGGGTTGAGTAACTGGTAAGACGGTTACAAAAATTATCAACCCTTTACAATACATGATTCAACAATATTCTCAGAAATAACATTAATGTTGTATGAGTTATGTTGAACGTCACCATCTGGCAGGAAATACCATCAACTCATTCTCAATAGGGATTTTTATGAACATAACTGAATACAGGACGATTTATGTATGTGGATGAATATTCATGTTTTTTTTTTATCTCATATTAATATGGTTTTTCATCGCTAATGTGTTTCGTTACTTTAGTCATATTCATTCGATTGTGGAAAGTTGGGGGGAGTAGGTAAACGTAATATGTTATATAACCGTTGTTCATATAAATTACTGAGAAAATCGTGGTACGCGTTTCCTGGCGCAAATCAGTTGAACTGTAGAGATATCTATTCAATACTGTTTTCCGTGTAGCGTTAAAATATTTGGTAATTGAAAAAAATTCTTAAATGGCTGTGAAGATATTTGAAGTCATTGTTATTTATCACAACTAATGGGTGATTTGGCTAAATCAAAAATACTTCTATATATATATGCATAGTTTGACATTTCATAAATTTAGGGTAACAAGTTCTAAGACATATCAGGCTACCATGACACTTGCCGTAAGATTTTAGGTAGCCGAAGTAAATAGAAGAAGATAACAATTACGATAACGTTGTTTCAGATATCCTTTATAAATAAAATAATATATTGCCATGGGAACAATTGATGAATTGGACGCAGGAAAGAAGGCAGAGATTGGCATGATGTTGGTTGTATACTTAGCAGGTGTTGTAGGCAATCTACTTGTTATTTTCGTAATTTTTTATCTCGGCGAATATAAGAAGATCACGCATTGGTAAGTCGTAAAATTTGGGTTAGTTATATGATTAAAGTATTAAGACTCATTTAACGCTGATTATGATTTTTGATCAAGCTTATGGAGCAGAGGTATAAGAATCAGTATACGCATTTTTGATAATGAAATATCACTGGAAAAATCATTACTGCGAGTTGATGCGATCTTTGGTTTTTTAAATCTGTCCCAAATCTAAAAAAATCCGATCATTTCAATTTCTGTAAAATTTGACACCGTTGTAATGTAGTTCAACTATTTCTTCTTTGTAAATATCACTAGTTGTGTTTAGGTATGTACTGCAACTCGCTTTGGCCGACTTGATATTTCTACAAGCTGTTCCTTTTAAGATATCTGAAATTACTCATAAGGCATGGATACTTCCACTTTGGCTTTGCAAAGCTAAGCAAGCGGTTTTATATATAAACTACTACGGATCCATCATATTTCTCACGGTAGGTATTCAATTTCGTGTAGTTTTTTCGTCATGAATCACCAGACCTAATCATTACACACACATGTAACACGTGTTTTTGACATGGTTATATTAGGTAAAATATTATATAAAAATCATTATTCCTAACTCTAAATTTACATCTTTCAATTTTCCCGTAAAAAAATAATTTTTATTTAGTCTTATTCGAGTAACCTATAGGACCAATTTGCCAACCAACCAACGTATGTTTAATCGTATTTTGTACTATAAATTGAATCCGAATAAATTAAAATATTCGAATACTGAATATTGAAATACTATTTAATGTTGCTTTCATGCTCTAACACGATCGATAACAACTTTATTGGTTACATTTTTGAACATTCATTAAAACAAGGAGTAATGCTCTAATACGAAAAACGAAGTAGTATCAAATCTGTTACAGTACAGGTAGTATGACCAGATCACCGTGAAGTAATCACGGAACCACGGCATGAGGCGCGATCTTTCCTTTTGATGACGTCATCATACAAAACCTTGAAGTGAAAAACGAGTCCACAGACATTTGTGAAAAATTAAAAGTAGTGATAATAACAAGCTTCAACCACTGAAAATTTCAAAGCAATTATTTCTGTGGATGCATATCATACTTTCGTTTCAGATATCAGTTCTTCTAATTTGCTAGAACTTTGGTTGATATATCTTCTTACATTGTATCCTAGTTACGTTTTTGAGGCCACAGCTTAATCCCGTAATTTAGTTTATTATGACCGTTAAATTTATATTAATTCACATGCAATTTTCTTAAATCGGATCGGATCTCCTGCCTGATTTTATCCTGTCATCCTTGCATATGATAAATATATGTTTCAGCTTATGGCGTTGGATCGTTATTTAGCAGTTTGTCACGGACTATCAAATCTGTCACGAAGAATAAGGTCTCGACGACCCTGCTATATTATAACTGCAATTGCATGGATCGTTGCAATTCTCATGTGCATTCCAGTCATGATGTATGCGGATACAGTTGGCGATGATCCTTATTGTGTTTGCTCGTGAGCTATTTAAATTTACAAAATTTGTATTGGAAATATAGTATTTTATTTAAAGAAAATTTCAACAAGAATATATTAAAATCTATTTCTACTTTGAAATTTCGCAAATTATTGTTAACATTCTGTAAATTATGATTAGGATTGTTTTTCCACGAAACAAACATCAATGGTGTGAAGGGTATTATAACGGCGATGAATACGACGTAGAGAAATGTATAACTGAAACATACGAAGAACATATAGGAAATGAAAATTGTGAAATCGAAGACGATGAAGACAATTCATCAGGGTCAGGAGGAGGATTTTCGGACTATCTTTCTGAGTAAATTTGAACTTATGTACTTATCGCAAACTTATTTACAAACCCTCCCTTTTGGGTTTTTGATGTTTCAAAATATCATTGACGGATATGAGCTTTCGATCCCTCCATGCAACCTATTTGCGATTAACTGCTCCCCTAAAATCATCCATTCCATTGTGCAACACAAACATTATTTCAATACTGGTGGCCACGTAAGTTTTAACAATATATATATGTCTTTTCTTAAGAAAAGTTTGGCAGTAATTGCGTGAACAAATCCATTCCTCCGGTAACTGTAAGATGAAATTGATATTGAATCAAAACAGTTACAGCGTGGTTCGCACAGCTTCCGATAGACGCAATTTGCTCAGCTGGACCACGAAGTCTGACGATGCAACCTTCATTCGCTTGCTAGACGGCCCCAGTAACAGCAAATCAAAATAACTTTATAGGTTGATATTCGATATCTCGGATATTATCATATTTATCCGGCGGAAAGGAAAGCCGATAACATAGCATAATCATATGGCGTACCACGGTCTCTCGTCCTGTTACCAGTCCTGGCCAAGCCGCGTACTGAAACATAAAACCTAGCTAGGTATAAGTTACGTATCGTTTGAGATAAAGGGTTCAACTGGAGATAAATTCGTTGAATCCAATTTGGACAGTTTCAAAATAATTCAGATTGATAAAATCTCAATACTAAAGTTGGCAAAAGATAACTTTTTATGGTATAAAAAATACAAACCAAGCAATGTTTTTTGTTTATTTTTAAGCTATACGGATGCGGTAGACACAAAGCCCTGCAAACACCATGAAGAATACATGGGACATGAAGCTTTTATTTTGTTCAACTTCATCGTCATGTTTATCATCCCGCTAATTGTGAGATTTGTAGAAAAATTTCTGTTATCATTTGTCATGAATATATGCTCGAAGTAGAATAACAAAAACTAATATAGAAGTGAAATATACTCTATAAACTTTGTTAAAGACCGCTTATTTGACGGTATTTTAAGTTAACCTTGTCGGTAGAGCACTCATACGTCAATTAGTGCAACTTGACTATTCGCTATCAAACTTTATATATACAGAATATATTCTCAAAGAAGAAAGACTTTGAATAACAATTTTCTTAACGAACGGCTGAAAGCTGAGCTAAACATATTTGATAATCAGATACTTTTGTCGGTCTTTTATTTTCCGCCTAGCCTACTATATTCATTAATTTTCATTTTTTATCAGTCTGATAGGTTTGTTTAGACAATATCTGTTTGTTATACGCTTATTATTGTTCGTCTAAGAAGAACTGATGCAAGAAGCCGAAGAAATTCAGAGCGCAACGAATCATCTCATTCAAGTGAAACTACGAGGGCCTCAACTTTTATAGCCAAAAGCAGACGACGGAAATCTTCCAGTGGGGGAGGAAAAAAACAAAAAACAAAAGTAACCATCATGTGTGTTGTTCTTGTCCTTTTGTTTGCAACATGTTGGATGCCTTATAACGTTGTACAAACTGTAAAACTGAAAGGAATTGAAAATGTGACAGAGGTAAGCTCCGTAAATATACAATGCGCAAAGCTGATTTTACATTTCCTCGACACGAAAACTTCATTGCTTGATAAACTTTTTTCACTGGGTGTTTTTACTTTCTTGAGCATAAATAGTTTGAACATAATGGGATTTCGAATCTACCAATCAAATTACCACTATAAATACCACTGGAATGATTACGCCATTGACTGGTTTTGCTTCCAACGGACCAACGTAAAAGAAAACTTTGTTACGAAGTTGGTCTAGAAAATTCTTATTGCATAAAATGGTAAATTTCAATTACTATAGCAATTTAAATCAACGTTTCCTAGCGGATAAATATTTGCACTATGCATTGTCTCATTTTTATTTAACGTTCCGTAATTGCAATTGAATTTAATCGTCTTAATTTGCTTCTTTAATTCTATTTTCAATAAGTTATTTTTTGGAAAAAAAGGAACTTGTGGAATGAGTCGTTTGAAAATAAACAGAACGAAATACAAACCAACTAAAATTCTGTTTATTGAATGACTTACAATAGTTAATAATATTGTTCATTATAATATTTTTTCTACAGGCCTACTGCTCTGGTCTAGATACCATTACCATTATATTCCTTTACTTGAACTCGGCTCTCAACCCTTATTTGTATAATTTTCTTGGAACTTTTGGGAAAAGAATCGGGTAATTACTTATAATTAAAAAACATAGCACAGAATAGTTTAAACTCCATTTTTATAAGTCATGAATATATTTTTCGATTTTTAAACATACGTTCCTAAGATTTACTCAATACGACTCTATGCTATATTTCGTGGCTTATATTTAATAATAATAGTTTTGAATAAACGTTCAACGTGAATCATAGCACTACATGTTAAAATTTGATAAAATACCCAAAATCATAAACATTTTATATTCAATTACTTTTAGGTTGTTTTTATGATTGAGTAAAAAGTTCTGGGAGTTTCCAAATTGATTTCCTCGGGAAATTCTCTAATTCTCGAGTTTTGTTACTGAATACACGTAACTCGGTATACTCTTTTATTGTAACGTGCGACAAATCACGATTCGCCCAAAACCAGCTTATTCAGAAAATTTCCAAACACTAAATATATATTTTTGAACGAAATAAATATTCCCAAATACAATACAGCATTGGTAAATATTTCAAGAAATTAACCGTAAAGGTCAATATTTATAGACACCAAAACCCCAAGTTTGGATTTGAACAAAACCTTCTTGGCTTTTTTTGGCACTTTTTTTATTCTTAATATTTCAATGTTTAATGGGGGGATTAGTAATTTGCTAAAATATTTCATTTCACGCATACTATTTGGGAGCTATCATTTAAATAGGATTTCTCTTAGACACGATCAATTTCAAAAATTCATGATTTATAATTGCACATCTTTCTTCCTTATTTTGCCTTTTTTTCTTCGTGGTATATTATCACATGATACAACCAACCATCTATAAAATTAAAATGAAAAAAATATACATGCCCAAAAATTTACATACTCAAATTCGCTATCAAATGTATATGTCGATAATTTAACAAATGCGCTCGGAAACTAATTTTGGTATTTCATTAAGACAAATTCGCAAACATAGAAGAACAAAGACTCTGATGTCGACGTTTAAACTCAACAGGGTAGGGAGAAAATCAAATTCATTTGTCAGTAGTTCTGAAACTGCTAAAACAAAGAAGAGTAGCATACCAAACGAAAAGTTCAGAGTAGAATATCTTCCAAAAGAAGGTGAGTCTATTGCATATTTTGGGTTGGAAATAATTTAATTTTAGGATTTCTCGATTTATTTTTATATAGATTGAGGATTGCAGGGCTATTGAAATATGGATTGTAGATTTCATATTTTATCATTTTTGATACATAATTTATTTCATTCCCCCACTATATTAGTTTTAAATCCTATCTGATTGTTTAGTTACTTGCTGATCCATGTCCACGGACCATGGTCAGGGAACTGGCTATCGTGCGTATTGTTGTTGTACTATATTTTTATACATAAGTGCGACAATGTTTACTCCATTGTCTTGCCCTACACATCAGTATTAATCTGCTATGTGTAAGGGTTAATTGCAGCACGAAGACCAATGAAGTTTTGTGCATGCAGATATGCCTATTTAACTGCACTGCGAAAATATTTACCGATGAAAACTAAAAAGACAAGAATTTTTTGGCTGAAAACTTAATAACCGCCGTACCATGTTTTACCATGTAAAGATCGAGCAGTCCATGACATTACAACTCTCTTTACAGTGATACTATTCATATTACTCACAATAATAACGACAAAATTTTTGTCACTATCATATTATACTATTTTCAGAGGAACCTTTGACTATTGAGAATGTTTACGAAGACAAGCCAACGTCGTCGGGAACTCAATTATGAAAGAAATGTTGTCGACGAGCTGATATTAGCTTTGATCTATTGCATAAAATTCTATCCCTTAGAATGTTTTTTTGTAAACCAATGGTATATGCTGAAAGTACAGATAAAATACTTCTGTATATAATTTGTTGCCAAAAATTATAATTTGATGACCATAAATCAACGTTCAAGTAAAATTGTTTTGCAATATTATTAATTATTGATATATGTTGACTGAACAGTATATTCCTAATTTGTTGCGCAATATTATTCAACAGAATACATAATTGCTACTTTTATTTTTCACAACATATTATCATTATATAGTGCGGAACCTATACACAACCTCGTCGTGACGGTTAACAGAACTATCGAGGAAAATAAACTTTTTCTACTAAAAATTGTTATTTTTTATTTTTTTGGTAAGCCAGTCAGATTTATATTATCCTTGCCAATGCATGTATCATTGATGTAATTACCCTAATCGTACTATTACTTCAATTCTGCTTTAATGTGCATGTGTCGTAATTTCTCTTCATAGCATTTAGCCTCGCTCGCTTAGTCGCGCTGCAAGGTCTTATTTCCGTTTATCCAAACCTGCACAGTTCAAATAATGGAGTGACTTCCTAATGCATCAATGATGTTTTTTTTTGTTTATTATTTACCTTTACTCATACGTATATTGTAAATAATGGCGGCCAATTCTGACCTAATACATTTTGATGCTGTCACCCTTTCCTGTTATTACTAAAACACGATAAAAAAGTGTGATATGAATTTTACTTGACTAATGTTAATCGCTCATAATATTTGTGGAAGTGATGTTACAAAAATCAAAAGTCATCAGTCTAAATAGAGTTCCTTTTGCTTTATTATTGGCAAATTATCTGAAATATTTTACACAATTAATACTAATGCAGTACACAACGTCATTATAAATCAATAAGATGAAAATCGAACTCATCAATCATGTACCGTCGTACCTACATGACGAAGAGAACAATTTTACTCCGAAGAAACATTGAATTAGTTTATTGATATATACACAATAGTTATAATTGGTGTAATTTTCCGTAAGTTGTATATTTAGTATATTTAAATGCATTTTCGAGAAGTTTTGCAGCAGATGTGTAACGAATGAGATTGCGCTCCTTGAGTTCACTTTGAAATTGACCTCTTCATATTAATTGGATAACAATTTTCGGACATTCAAAGAATTATGGTATAATCAATAGGCCAATTGCCCTTTTGTTTTTCTCTTTTTTATTTCACCTTATCACAATTCCTCTTGCGCATGAATTTGACACGGTCATTATAATAATACTTTATTGTCGTGGGAATTTGTGATGGAGACAGAGGACGGCAGGTGTCTTATGTCTTTATGTACGAAGGCTTTCGTTGTTATTTGTAAAAACATCACTGTTGGAAATATTCTGTATTTTATTCTAACAAAAGAAACATCAATTTTCATGGTCGATGCAGTTTTACAATGAAGTTTCAACTATAATTGTTCATTTGCTATAAATATTTGTATGTTTAAATTTTCACTTCAATTTGAAGACTTATAATGCTAAACTATTAAACTCTTGCTATATTGAATCATAATATATATGTTTTTCGTTCGAGAAATGCTAATTTCTACAATTAAAAGATATTGTATTTATTATATACTTATATATCAGCTATATATCAACTATTCTCACTTCGTTGTTTGCTTATTGTTATGTATATTGCTTTTGTAGCAATGGCCTAATATGTCCGGCTATGCGACTCAATATTGATATTCTCGATAATTTTTACCAAATTTTATTATTCAAAAATAGACCTCCAATCTAATGATTTTTTAAAAGAAGATTACGTTTACGAATGTCAAAGATTTCACATGTCTTTTTTTATCTTTTATTCTTTGCTTTGCTCGTTCTCCATCTGATATAAGTTTGTCTATTTACGTATCTTGGCTCTAGTCAAAACTAAACAACGTGAATTGAACGAAGGTCTTATTTTTTTTTTATTCAATCTATTTCCCTTTTGCAAGAGTATTAACAAGACACAACTATGTTGTCTATATGGAATACTATACGGTAATGGGCAACTATGAAATTGTTGCCTTCTCCTTATGTTTTTTTTACATTCGAGATAGAGTATGGCTGAAGGTACGTTTTAGTGAGTGTCCCATCCCTACAGCGAACCATGTTTTCTCTGCGAGTAGCACTTACGCCAAATGAAAAGCAATCTTTTAATTAGTAAAAACTTCTCACTTTTCTCTCTTTCCCTATTTGCGAATTTATAACATTGACATTTTGTTTGAGATATTTACTCGTAACTATGATTACTTTTATTGTCTTGGGAATATAGACATGAAGTGAAAAAACAGGTGTCACGATAATGCGAACAAGCCGGCTGTGTCTGTTTGGCGCTTTTCATATTATAATCGTGTTAAGCGTGCTCAAAAATCACGGCAGTCATCTGCCCATCAGATGTTAAAGTTACCTGACACAACGCTTAAAAAATGCATTTTTTTTTTCGAAGTAAATTAGCTGATTGGCATATGGCTTCTTCTTGAAATATTTAGTGAAACATTGAGTGCTGTAACAACTGACGCAACTTTGATATGATCTAGATTCTAAAATATACAAAGGGGAAATCATGCTAGTAAAGCAAATGTGAAGTTTGCTGACTTCTTTCTAAAGACATTGAACATTTTAGAAACACGAATAGAAAGTTGTAACACCGTGAATCTGTTTTTATCATTCCTTGACCAACAACTTAACGTTCAATAAACAAAGCATACAAGAGTTGACTTTCATTTATATAAAATTTATTGCAGCATAACAAAACAGTAGATTATAAAAACGTATCAAACTAGGACGTTTACATTTGCTCCTCATTTCACTCTAAGATAATCTACATCTTATTTCCGTATCTTTGGCTTGACTGGCGATAGCCAATGCCTGCACACATCCATCGCATTGTTGAGATAGTAGTCATTCTTTCTCATTGCTCATTTTCCCTTATCTACCTCGGTGGATTTCATCATCACCCCGTGCTGTATTTTCTTTTCAATGAAGAGGATTATTCAAACATTAAATTCGAAGTCTTCATCGCTTGTTTGTTGTCGTATTTGTTTTAGGTTCTCGTACCCTGCCTCTTCTTCCAGATCAAAAATATAATTGATCGCTTGCTCAACAACTTCGAGTGCTGATGGTTGTTCAACATTGACAATAGTTGGTACAACAGACTGCAGTTTGGTAAGAAGTCTAAGAACTTCTGCGTCTTCGTCGACAACTGGACGTTTGGTTTCGGCTTTGCAGTGTTTCACTGGCCTAGCATATGGTGCAATACGGCAAGTTACTTCACGACATGCTTTGATAGATTTTCCCATTTTGATTTTCGTTTCTATATGCAACTAAACAACGAAAGCTTTTGAGACGAGATTGGTATTCACGGATTGGATTCCGCTTTTTTATAGCTTTCGCGGCCATTTTTTCTCATTTAACGACTGGTGTTCGAGCGTGAGTGACCTTTTCCCTTTCATCGTTTGAAGACATCTCTCGTTTCTCGTTCTAATTGGCTACACGCAGATAATCCATCATCATCCAATATTTAAATGAGCTTGAATACGCAAAACCTCAATGAGGTAATTAATAAAGTTTCTCACGACAATTTTGCATAATATCAAATGTCATAACATTATTAAAGCATTAAATAATAAGATAAACAATTATTTATTTGTGGGAGTATTTATGTTTTAAAGAATCATTTATTGGCCAGCAAACAAGGAATCAAGATTCATTCATACCATTTGAGTTAGGATTATTATACATACATCATTAACAATCTAAAACTACACTTACAGAAAGAAATTTTATTGGCTTCACGGTTCATACGTCAATGCGCAGTTGAGAGAAGATTAATAACGTCATGTGGGAGCAATTTATCGGCAGATGCTGAATGAGTGGGAAAATATTATTGTTATTCAAATGACTTGCTTTGTTTGTAACAATTTATTCTTATAAATAATAAAGCCATTCAACTTCCACTATCAAACAATAACAATCGTAAATGAATAGTAAGAGGGACTTCCGGACATCGATCGGAAATACATTTTTAGGTGACAACTTCCGATAAGTTTTGTGAATGAAAAAGTTTAAATTTATGAAATGTTTATTGTGAATCTATTAAATATTTAATAATATTATTATAAAAAATCATTGAGATATTCAAATTAGGCGTTAAAGTACTTTATAAAAATAAGAAGTATAAGAAGTAAAATACGACATAGGGTAAACTTTACGAATGAAAAATCGAATCAACAAAACGCGTTATAATAATATATTTCTGCGACCAAGGCCTGAGTCAAAGAACTCAACTGATAGGATAGGATTGGCGGAGATATTATCAAAATTGACGTAATTGCTATCGTGCTTAAAAAATAAAAACTAACAGTTATTTACATAGACTTCCAATGATATCATGTGAATATAGAGTGTTGGAGTATTTCAGTGCACTTGTAATAAGTAATTCATTCAGAGGAGAGGGGAATAACCATTTATGTTTCAAAAATGTCATAAGGCGTGTTTTCAATTACGCTTTGAGCTTTCGCGTTCTCACACATTTTCCACCTGTCATCCTTTATCGCGAGTTTGTATTAAAACATGATTTTATACTAATTCGAGAGCGCAAATATTGTTGTTGGCCCTCCGTTCTTCGATGAGGGACAAGCTTTCCCACGCGTCAGCCATCTGTCTGATTAGGGCAAATCAGGACACGCGCGTACGTTTGAAATCAAGCATAGGGACAAAACTAGAAGAAACCGATTCGCAAGATTTGAAACTCGTCGTTGCGTATTTTTTGTTTAACATGATATACTTGTGAACAAATGGATATTTTATTTTTGTTGAGGCCAAAATAAATATAATTTGCTCAATAAATTTTCAAGCTGTTCAATCGTAGTAACTTATTGTCATAAGACCTGTAGGAGGATAACACAACACGAAACACGTTTGTATTGTAAATCCATGAGAAACAAACAATTTTTACTAAAATCCGTTGCAGTCTCAAACTGTCAGATTACTTGATCCAAAACATGCGTAACACGAGACTTGCGATTATTCTATTTAAATAGTATGATCCAGTTAATAATCATGTAATTCCATAGAACGAAAGAGGATTAAATAGCAAACATATAGAACCAGTTTTTTCTCACGTCGAGAGTGCGTGGAAGCAGGTGTTTGTCGCATGGGAATGGTTTACACGAATGCGACTTATCAGAGAAAAGTAAACCGAAAAATTGTACTTGGATAAAAATCAATATTTTGAATTTCATGAACTAACTGCGTTATGGAAAAAGCATTCAGTGAAACGTCTGCTTTGTTTTTGAGATACAAATTCTTCTCACACTTGAAATATACGTAAATATAAAAAACAGTAACCTCTATATTAGTTTATATAAATGTTATTTTTCGTGTTCAATAATTCAATCTGATTTCACCGTTGTTGTTATTCAACTTTCTGTTTTTTTACGTAAAATGCTGCCTCTCAAGACAACCGTATCATTGGTTCCTTCACCACAGAGCCTCAATTTTCAGCGAGTCATTGGGCTTTATATATTTGAAGCAGGAATATAATTTCATAAACTCCTTTACTCATGTAACTCTATCTTGCTCAATTTAGTTTTTATCAGCGGAACGCAAAGAGGACTGACTTGCAAAGGGGCTATATAGGCATATGTAAAAGCTTATTGCGTTAGCATAGATGGCATATTTTTATTGTATCAAAGATTAGATTGAAATAACAAAGTATTGTTTTTCATATTTTGATAGAAAAAATTCGGACACCAACATAAATCCATAAAGCAATTTGTTTAAAACTGAATTAAGGGGATGAAAAGATTTTTTCTGATCATATTTTGTTCAAAAGTTACAAAACAATTAACGCTTCAAGCTATTTTTCAAAATTAAAATTGGATCACTAAAAATAGTCGTAAGGATATGTACAAAGTATCTTTAACCTTTGCAAAGTTACTGGCTGGCAACCACTGAACCCAAGTTAATTTGCAGTGGCCGGGCGAGATCTCGCAGTATACCCAGTACGATGTTCTGGATGGGGCAAGGTCGGAAATTTCAGAAGAGCAAAATCCGTTAAACTGTCTCTAAAATAGACATAGCGAGGCAACGATTTATTGATACCAAAGAATTTGCAGCCAGGGTTAGTGAATCAATAACAAATCATTTTCGTTTATAACTTCGTTTAGCGGGTGTTGAATATCTGCTGAAGCCACATGAGCATTGGTCCAAAAGTTGCAGCCATACCGCATTTAAAGTGCTATCAGTTATTTGTACAGTCCGCTCAAGGACATAGCACAACCTGAACATATGGAGTGCGCACTGTCTAATTTGTTGCCGTCCAATGTGATTAGGGGACATGATATAACGTAGTAGTACAGTCAATAGATTCTATGTTTTGCTAATAACTTTTCACTTCACACATATTTTGACACCTGTGTTTTTTATTAGACATTTTAAAATTGCAGTTTGAAAAATGTAAATATTCATGAAAAATAAGCACATATATGCAGATATAAAATGATGAATCGATGATAATGCTTGATGGGAAATGATGATATAACATTCAACATTGTTTTTGTCGGTCAATCCCATAAAATTCATTCAACTTTGATGGAAATCTCAAGTCATTTATTGTTTGTTCTCTGTCAAACACCTTAGCTCTTTGATTGCATAAATGGAAACGCGAACATGTTCTGCTGGTGAGAAAATTATTTGACCTTGAGTGTTAAATTCTTCTCATCCACCGTTGCTTTGATTTTTTTGCACCTCCATGCGTCTCAACAACGTTTCCCTTTGTCTTCAATGAAAATTGATTCATCTATTTCTCCCCTCTTCTTGCTTTGCAATGCTTTTTCCTCGTTTGCTGCCTCAGTCGTGGCTGGTAATTCAACCCATACTTTTGAAGCTTATTCAAATCACATAACCTGCCTCTTTTTCCAGATCCCGGATATAATCAATTGCATTCTCAACAATGTCTAGTGCTGATGGACTCTTTATATCAATTGTAGACGGTACAATAGCTTGTAGCTTAGATAGAAGGTGAAGTACTTCGGCATCCTCATCGGCGAGCGGTCGACTATCTTTTGTAGGTGAAAGCATGGATTTCACCGGTCTAACGTAAGGTAAAGTTTGACTTCTCACAACAGAACAGTTAGCAACAACAGCTTTTCCCATTTTTCAGTTTAGGTCTCGAACTACAAGACGGTTTGGCGCTTTTAAAAATATATTCCATTGTGCTCTATTGCAGTTGTATTTATACAGGATCGGTGCTTTTTTCTCTCGCTTCATATCGCATTTTTTCTCGTTTTTTGGCACTGATTATCGCCTTGTCTAAATTTAATTGTTTATTTCTAATAGAACGAAATACCATACTCTTTATCATATAATATTATTAATATTAATAGTATATTATATCACAATTTATTCATGTTTCCATGCGATAAGTTGAATTTGAGCAAACAAACTCGTCTAAATGACAAAGTTTCATTGGTTTAGTAGTATGGACATGCAGGGGGAATTGTCAATATGACAGATGTTCAACGTGTGAGAAAACGTAATTGCTGTCGACACGATTTAAT